GCAGAGGACCTCAACAGACACTTCTCCCAAGAAGACATACAAATGGCAAACAGATGTACATAAAGATGCTCAATCCCACTAGCTATTATGAAAATGCAAATCAAAACTATGATGACATACCACTTCACACCTATTAGAATGGCTATTATTAACAAGACAAATAATAGCAAGTGTGGGAGAGGTTGTGGAGAAAATGGAACTGTCATTCACAACTGGTGGGAATGTAAACTAGTACAACCACTATAAAAAACAGAATGGCCGGTCCTCAAAAAATTAGTAATAGTTACCATATGACCCAGCAATCTCTCTTCTGGGTGTCTACCCCAAAATCTTGATAACATTTATTTGCAAAGATATATGCACTGATGTTCACTGCAGCACTATTCACAGTAGCCAAGACATGGAGACAACCAAAGTGTCTTTTGACAGATGATTGGACAAAGAAGATGTAGTACACAGAGAATAAGTAGCATAGACTGTGGGGAGAAAATAGACAGGGGGAAGGCAAGAGTAGTGTGGGAAATGGAGAAGCTAAAGAACTTATGACACATGGACATGAACTAGGGGGGGAATGTGAGTGGGAATGGGTGTGCAGGGTGGAGGGGAATGGAGGCGGGGAATGGGACAACTATAATGGCATCATCAATAAAATATACTTTAAAAAAGGATGTAGTACATATACAATGCAATACTACTCAGCCATAAGAAAATATTAAATACTTCCACTTGCGACAACATGGATGGATCTTGAAAATATCATGCTAACCTACATATATCAGATGAAAATGTCAAGAACAATATGCTCTCACTCATATGTGGGATAGAAAACTGAAGGCAATAAATGAACAAACAAACAACAACAGTATGGTGGTTACCAGAGGGGAAGGGGGTGGAGGGAAGATAATAAAGGGTAAAGGACATCAAATTCACAGTGACAGAAGATTTGACTTTGGGTGGTAAATACAAAATACAATATACAGATGATGCATTATAGAACTGAACACTTGAAATCTACATAATTTATTAGCCAATGTCACCCCAATAAATCTAATCAAAAGAAAAAAAAGAAAAAGCCCAAGCCCAGAAGGCTTCACCGCTAAATTCTATTAAATGTTTAAAAAATTAACACTAATACTTCACAAACACTGGCAAAAAAAATGAAAAGAGGAGGAAACATTTCTCAATTCATTCTATGAGGCCAAATATTTACCCAAATACCAAAACTGGACAAAGACATCTCAAAAAAGAAAACAAGTAAAACAGCAAATATCCCTTATGAATATGGGAACAAAAAAACCTCAAAAATCAACAAACCAAATCTAACAGCATATAGAAAAGATTATGGACCATAACCGAGAGGGTTTCACTTGTAGGAATCCAAGTTTCAACATAATAAAAATCAATCAATGTAATACACCATAATAATAAAATACAAAAACCGCACTATTATCAATAGATGCAGAGAAAAACATCTGGCAAAATCCCGTAGTATCATAACAAAAATACTCAAAGTAGGAAAGGAGAATTTCCTCCATCTGATCAAGGGTTTCTATAAAACCCCTTGGCTAATGTCACACTCAATGTTAGAGACTGAAAATTTTCCCCCAGGATCAGGATCATGAGGAAGTCTGCTCCCACCATTTCTATTCATCAGTATACCAAGAACACCTAGTTACAGTAATTGTGCAAGAAAAAGAAATGAGAGCATCCAGATTGGAAAATGGGGAGTAAGACTCTATTTGCAGGTGACATATTCTTGTACATACAGTATTAAAAATCCACACACAAGAAATTTGGAGTAATGAGTTCAGCAAAGTTGCACAACACAAACAAAATCAATATACAAAAATCGGTGGTGTTTCTATACACTGGAGATGAATGATCTGAAAATGAAATTAAGAAACCAATTCCATTTACAATAGCACCAAAACAATAAAATACTAAGGAATTAACTGAACAAAAGAAGTACATGATGACTGGATTCAGAAAACTACAAATCCTTTTTGAAAGGAATTAAAGACCTAAATACTTTAACAGACAATTTGTTTTCATGGGTCAGAAGACTCACTTTTGTTAAGAAGTCAATATTCCCCAACTTGATCTATATATAAATATACAATCCCTATCTCAATCTTGGCTGGAATTTTTGCAGAAATTGACACACTGATCCTCAAAAAACACATAAGGAAATGCAAGTGATATGGAATGACCAAAACAAACTTGAAAAGGATTAACAATTTCAACATTTACCACAAAGCTACAGTAATAAGGGAGTATAGTACTGGCATAAAGAATGACATATAAGTCAACAGAATAAAGACTTCAGAAATAAACCCTCACATTTATAGTTAACTGACTTTCTACAAAGATTCAAGGCAATACAATGGGGAAAGAGTCTTACCAACAAATGGGAACAAATGACTGGATATCCACATGCAAAAAAATGTAGTTGGACCCTGATCTCACAGTATATACAAAAATTAACTTAAAATGCATCATAGATCTAAATGTAAAAGCTAAAATTATAATACTCTTAGAACAAAATAGAGGATTAAATCTTCATGACCTTGGGTTGGGCAATGGCTTCTTATATATGATGCCAAAGCACTAACCATGAAAGAAAAAAACAAACTGGACTTCATCAAAATTAAAACTTTCACGCACCAGAGGACATTACATAGAAAGTGCAAAGTCACCATACAAAATGGGAGAAATTGCTTGCAAACATATACCTGGTAAGGGATATATAAGAGAGTCCAGAATGTACTAGGTAACACTTCACATCCACCTGCACAGTTAAAACCAAATAATTAATAACACACAGGAAGTGTTGGTGAGGAGGAATGTGGATGAATTGGAACTCATATATTCCTAATAGAAACATTAAATAGTGCAGCTGCTTGGAAAAACATCCTGGCGGTTTCTCAGAGAGTTAAACATAGAATTATCAGATAACCCAGCAATTATGCTCTAGATACATACTCAAAAGAAATGAAGCCACACGTCTATCAAAAACCTGTAATAAATGTTCACAGCAGCACTATTCGCAATAGCTAAAATATGAAAACAAGCCAAATATTATAAACTGTTAAGTGGGTAAATGTGGTATTATCCATACATACAATGGAATATTATTCAGGCATAAAAAAACAAGTTCTCATACATGACACAACATGAATAAACCTTAAAAACATGCTAGTTTTTTTGTATACTTTTTTGTATACCCCACCAAATTGTATACTTTCAAAGGATGAATGTATCTCAATTAAAAAAAAAAAAAAAAAGAGCCAGAACCTTTTGTTATGACCATGTAACTGAAGGGGTTTGTAAAATCACCTTATTCCATTTCTCACATTTTACAAAAAACTAAGATACAAATGGTGAAACTTTAGCCATGGCCCTAAAGTTTGTTAAAGTAGAAGTGAAATTGTTATACAGGATATTTCTACCTCCATTCTAAGGAAACGGAAAAAAAACAAACCTACTTTAATAAAAAGATCTATTCACAAGGGACTGCATCCTTTAGAAATGTAAAAATCTCTGTCCTGAATTTCTACCACCTCTTTCCAAGTTCCAGGACCCTGATTCTTAATCATTAATAAGTATTTTGTTAAAGGCAAAACAGCACCTTCATTAGTATTTTAAAAAGCACTTCAAATTGTTAAAAAGTTCTTCAACTATCATTCAGTTTAATATGTTTCAGATAATTAAACATTAGTTAACCAGGATTTTAGAAAATCCCATAGCAATAAATTTTTGAAATGCTGAGCCATCTTTGCAATGCTACGCACTTGCACAAAAATATTGAAATATTTGAGTTTTTTCAAAGACACAAGTAGTGTAGGAGGAGAAGGGTAGGTGGAAATAGGAGGGGGTATAAAGAGAATAAATGGTAATGAAAAAAATACAATAAAAATCAGTTGTTATATAAAAAATAGGGCGTTACTACCAATGAGAGTTTAGGGTATTTCTCCTTATTGAATCTGGGGACAATTATGACTGGTTCAACCAACATAATACAGTGAAAAAGACCTTTCTAAATTCCTGACCCAGAGAATCAGTGAGCTGACTAAAATAATTATTGTTTTATGACATAAAACAATAATTATTGTTTTACACCACTCCACTTAATTTGGAGTGGTGTATTATACAGCAAAGATAATTAGATGAGCAAATATGATTTTTATAATAAAAATGAGCAACTCGTTTCCTCTTTGCACGGCACTCTGGAATCATATACATTCCCCCAACCCAAAAAAAGCAGATATGAAAATACATGTATACATAAGCATATATACTTTTTTAAAGTCAAGTAAATTACATGATTTTTCAATCACCTAAAAATATAACTTGATATCCTGCTATGTTCCAGATTTCAAAGTACCCCCAGATGACATCATGAATATAAGCATATACATGAGCTTAAGGCTTCCAAAAACTGTGGTTCTTAAAGTTTGGATGAAATTCCAGGTTAATTTTTCCTGAATGGTCTTGCCTTTAATAGAATTTAACCTAAAGTAACCATTTTCTGATTACTTAGGTTGTTCTCATTAAGAATAGGTTTGGCCTACTTGGTAACTTAGAAGGGCCTCCTATTTCTTTGGAAATTTTAACTTTTAAGTAATGGCAAATTCTGGCCGTCTACATATTCTGTGTGATCTCAAGGAAATGAAGACTTTCTTGGGCCTGATCTGTAACTCACTTGATTTGATCAGGATGATTTTAAGGATTAAATGAGAGAAGACATGAAAACTACTAAGCACAGTATTAGGCACAAAGGAGACATAATACCTCTGAAATCTAACTTTAGAACTCAAGACTACCGCTTAGTACCTGCAAAAGAGAATCCATACTGAGAGTAATCATATGAATTTCTAAGTCATATTTTGCAACTTTTAGTGGACCATTTTAAAAGTTAAGATTATTATAATGCATACCATAAACTTATGCTAGGTAGAGTAATATTTCAGTAATAGAGAAAGCAATTTACAAATATTTACCTTGATCAAATATTTTTCCCATCTGTCTGCTGTAACAGATTTGCCAATCTTCCTCATCAACTTCAAATGGAGCTCCACCAATTCTTTTGGTACTTAAAAGGAATTAAAAAAAAATACTGTTAGCCAGCAAAATAAAAAATCTATAAACATGAAAATTATGGAAAGAACTATTCCCCAACACCGAGTAATTTTTCAAAAGAAAATGCTGATTTTAACTGTCTTTTATAACTCTGAATCAGAAAAGACTAAACTAAGGCAAGAAACAACTAAAAACTACTTAAAGGTAAGTAGGTATAATCCCATTTTCTTTCAAAACACCATCAAGTAGGAAAGAACTGCAATGTAGACCATAGTCTTTTGGGTGAGCCTTGAAGTGTCAGTGTAGGTTCACTGATTGTAACAATGTTATCACTGAGGTGCAGGGCATGGATAGTGGGGGAAGTTGTACATGTGAGAGGAGGAGGGTAGATGGGAACTCTGTACTTCGTGTTCAATTTTAAAGTTGCCCTATGCAGCCAAAACTGCCCTAAGAAATAAGTCTATTAAAAAAAAAAAAACCCATCAAGTAAAAATAGTTAACTTTATAGTTCATTTCCCATAACACATATTTGGTTTCTTTATTAAGACTGCAGACCAACATAAATTCACAGAATTAAAAAGAAATCAAGGAACAACCCTGGCTATAGTGTGGTTCAGTTGCTTGGGCATCCTGCAAACTGAACAGTCACGGGTTAGAAACCTGGTAAAGGCACTTGCCCAGGTTGTGGGTTCAGTACCCAGTCTGGGCACATGCAAGATGTATCCGATTAATGTTTCTTCCATATCAATGTTTTCCTCCCTCTCTTTCTTCCTCCTTCCCCCTCTCTCTAGAATCAATAAAATAAAATAAAAAGGAATCAAGGAACATATATTCCAAGTTGATAGATAGCTCAGAAATAGTCTAACAGTTTTCAAACTTTCAGAAAACTACTCATCCAATCCATCCCTTATGTACCATGCTAAACTCTATGCCATCCTTAAAGATTCTTGACAACCTTCAAGAATGAAAAATTTACTTACCTTCCAAAGTTCTTATTATTAGAAAGTTACCTTACACAAAAATCAAAATCTCCCTTTCTCCCTGGTTCTTGCTCTTACTGTCTCATACTTTCTTCTTCTGTTGAAATCTTAAAATATTTAAAGATTGCTGTATTTTCCCTCAGATTCTCTCTTCTAACTATAAACAACTAGAGTTCTCGAAATATCCCCTGGGCATGATCTGATTATATTGTTTAATTGTATTAGTTAGACCTATGAGAAATGAAAGACATACACATACATTCCAGTCCAGTTTAACATTTCCCAAATACCAAATATTGTTAGTAACCTAAGAGATACCATACTTACACTGTCTACAAGGTTCCACAATCGAATACCTGAAAATACTAGATTAAAAAAACCTTTTTCTGATCTCAAAACTTAAGAGCTTTTCTGGATTGTTTCTATGAGCACTGTGAGTATTCAAGATAGGGACAAAATTTGCAGCACTTCCTAATGTATCTGATCATAGAACATTTTGGGGGATTAGGACTTCCAGCCAAGATGGAGGTGTAGGTGGACACTGTGTCTCCTCGCACAACCAAAAGAAGGACAATAACAATTTAAAAACAAAAAACAACCAGTACTGACAGAAAACTGAACTATAAGGAAGTCCAACAACCAAGGAGTTAAAGACACATTCATCCAGACCCACAGGAGGGGCGGAGACAGGCAGCCCGGCAGAGAAAACTGGTGGCAAGGCAGCAGCTGGCGGACCCAGTGAGGCAGTGGCAGATAGTGGAGCAGGATGCACAAGGCTGCAGGGGGCAGAGTAGACCAGGCAGCAGCTCGTGGACTGGGCAGTCCCATATTCAGGAGCAGATAAACTGGGAGAAACAACTGGGCGCAACCCAGGGCTCCTACACAGGGAAATAAAGCCTCAAACCACTGATTGAAAACATCTGTGGGGGTTGAGGTAATGGGAGAAAATCGCAGCCTCACAGGCGAGTTCAGTGGAGAGACCCACAGGGTCCTAGAAAGTACATAAGCCCACCCATGGGAATCAGCACCACAAAGGCCCAATTTGCTTGTGGGAAGCAGCAGAAGGTACTAAAATCCAGCAGAGTGAAGCAGGCAGCAGTGTTCCCTCTCCGACCCCTCCCCCACATACAGCATCACAACACAGCAACTGGGTTGCCCTGCCGTGGTGAACACCTAAGGCTCTGCCCCCCACTATATACCAGATGTGTCAAGACAAAAAAAAAAAGGCCCAAACAAAAGAACCCATCGAAGTTCCAGAGCAAATACAACTAAGCAACCAAGAGATAGCCAGCCTATCAGATGCACAGTTCAAAACATCGTGATAAGGATGCTCACAGAATTGGTTGAATTTGGTCATAAATTAGATTTAAAAAATGAAGGCTACGCTAGGTGAAATAAAGGAAAATGTACAGGGAACCAATAGTGATGGGAAGGAAACTGGGACTCATATCAATGGAATAGACCAGAAGGAAGAAACAACCAAACAGAAAAGAATGAAGAAACAAGAATTCAAAAAATGAGGAGAGGCTTAGGAACCTCCAGGACATCTTTAAATGTTCCAACATCCCAATTATAGGGGTACCAGAAGGGGAAGAGGAAGAGCAACAAATGGAAAACTTACTTGAACAAATAATAAAGGAGAACTTCCCCAACCTGGCAAAGGAACTAGACTTCCAGGAAATCCAGGAAGCTCAGAGAGTCCCAAAGAACATGGACCCAAGAAGGAATACACCAAGGCACATCATAATTACATTACCCAAGATTAAAATGAAGAAGAGAATCCTAGAAGCACCAAGAGATAAGGGGACAGTCACCTACAGAGGAGTTCCCATCAGACTGTCAGCTGATTTCTCAAAAGAGACCTTACAGGCAAGAAGGGGCTGGAAAGAAGTATTCCAAGTCATGAAAGGCAAGGACCTACATCCAAGAGTGCTCTATCCAGCAAAGCTTTCATTTAGAAGGAAAGGGCAGATAAAGTGCTTATCAGATGAGGTCAAATTCAAGGAGTTCATCATTACCAAGCCCTTATTATATGAAATGTTAAAGGGACTTATCTAAGAAAAAGAAGATAAAAAACACGGACAGTAAAAAGACAGCAAACTCACAGTTATTAACAACCACACCTAGAACAAAACAAAAGCATACTAAGCAAACTAGAACAAGAACACAACCACAGAAATGGAGATCACATGGAGGGTTAACAACACGAGAGTGGGAGGGAGAGAGAGAGGGGAAAGGTACAGAGAATAAGTAGCATAAATGGTAGGTAGAAAATAGACAGGGGGAGGGCAAAAATAGTATGGGAAATGTAGAAGCTAAAGATCTTATAAGTATGACACATGGACATGAACTAAAGGGGGAGGAATGTGGGTGGAAGGGGGTGTGCAGAATGGAGGGGAATGAAAGGGGGGAAATAGGACAACTGTAATAGCATAATCAATAAAATATATTTAAAAATAACATTTTGGTTAAAACACAATATCTTGTAGGATACACGTGCTCTGAAGTACAGTTGGGGAAATGATGGACTAGTTTCTTTCAGTTATCCTTTCAGACTCTTTATTCTCCACTGAAGCTACTTGGAAGTTGAAATGACCTTTAAGTATAAAAACACAGCTATTCCAAAAAATTCTGTGGGTTGACTATTATTAATCAACAATAGACTTCTTAGGCCTACATATGTAATTAGCCTTCTGGGGTAAGACCATGGGTGAGTTGGAGGTTAAGGGCAGGAGTCAGGAGGGGTGGCTATAGACCAGTAAACAGACAATTATACTAAGCCAAGACCTGAAGTATGGGATTGAGGAGGTGAGTGGAGAAAAGGGGAAGGATATTGCTTACAAAGTTAACTGCAGATGCAAAAAAACTGAAAAACAAAGCGATCGTGAACTAGAGGCATGAACACATAAAAAGGACATGGTCATGAAGAGCCTTAAAGCTACACTAAGTAGTTTACATTTTGTTTAAAGATATAGGCAAGAGAATGCTTTATGACTTAGATAGATCTCAATGAACGAATTTTAGGAAAAGAAACTGCTTTTATTTGCTTGTTTTAGATGGTGGGGTACAGGACACAAATTAGATGTAAATTCAGGAAAATTATCAATCAAGAAAGATGAGTCACTTGAATTTAGGTACAGGCGGTACAGAGAGAAGTGGGCAGATCTGAGAAAATGTTTAGGAAACAAATAATAAAACCTAGTGATAGAGTCAAGAAAACCTGAGGCACTAGCCTGGAAAACGAAGTAGATGCCAAAGATAATACACTAGTAAGTAAAACACTGGGCACAATCCTTAACTCTAGCACTTAATACAAGGAGACTATGATTGTGGTCAAGTTCTCTGAACACTGAATCTCAAATTCCTCATCTGTAATAAAGGGCTGCACTAGCTAACTCAGTTTCTAAACTGCAGAACATTATATACAGCTAAACACTTTTATTTTTATTTTTGTTGTTAATCAGTTTTGATTTCTTCTTTTCACTTTTCCCCAAACACTAAAGTCTTAAGCATTCTACCTTCCTACATCTCAAGCCTGTTCCTTATTTCCCCCAATTTCTCTAGGGTACCACTGGACCATCTCACTTTAGAAAAATAGTTATGGACAATCTCCTGTAATAAAACCAATCCTCCAAAAATACTTTCATGTCTCTTCCCAGTTCACAAATATTTTTATGGCCCCTAAATACCTATATAAACTCATCCAGATTTTCCCCCCATTGCCTCAGAGTCCCAAAATTCAGTTATCAATCTAACTCTCCAATCCTCTCTCATTTCTACACTGAAATCCTTGATTCAAATCATTCTGGTCTAAACACTATCCACCACTAAGCATACCCAGTTCATTACCTAGCTCAGCTTTATTCAAGCTCTCCAGCTTACTGTTTTCTGCCAGTTTGAAACATACACATCTTTCAATTTCTAAATAAAAATTGCTAGTCTATGAGATAGTTTTCCAATAATTCCAGAAACAGTTTTGTCCTTGGAATGCCCATAGTATGTATTGATGCTGTCTGTATCACTCATTTAGGAG